AGACCGAACTAGGTATTCGACTATGAAATCGACTTCACTGAGTACAATGCACCGTTGAGTGTTGACGAGGCAATAGGTGGGCCAGACGCTGTTCAATGGAAACGAGCCATTGAAGAAGAGCTCATGGCACATGAAAAGAACCGCACTTGGGAAATTGTGCCAAGATATCTAGCAAGGAAAACGATTGATTCCAAGTGGGTGTTTAAAGTTATTCAGAATCCGGATGGAAGCGTACGCAGATACAAAGCGAGGCTGTGTGCCAGAGGATTCCTCCAAGAGAAGGGCGTGGATTTCGAAGAGACTTTTTCACCAGTGGTTCGCTACGACTCATTGAGAGTACTGTTGGCAACAGTAACTCAGGAAGATCTGGAGATGGTGCAGTTCGACGTCCGTACCGCGTTCTTGTATGGAGATCTTCAAGAAGAAATTTTCATGAAGATTCCAGTGGGCTTGAAAGTCGGTAAAAACGCGAGTGAAGTTGAGTGTCGACTAATAAAATCTCTGTACGGGCTGAAGCAAGCACCCAGGTGCTGGAATCGTAAATTCTGTGATTTCTTGCGTCAATTTAAGTTTATACAAACCGATGCAGACGAGTGCATATTCTACAGCAATGCTAGGAAAGACTGCGAGATCTATCTTGCTTTGTTCGTGGACGATGGACTTATAGCTTGTAAGTCGGAAACTGTATTGAGAGATATGATTAAGAAAATGAAAAGCACGTTCGAGATTACTGTAGGGGACTGTAGTCACTTCGCTGGGTTGCAAATAGTTCGAAATCGTTCCGAGAAGACGATGTTTCTACATCAGAGTGCGTATACGCGAAAAATGCTCGAGCGTTTTAATATGAGCGAGGCAAAACCGTTGTCGGTCCCTGCGGATCCTAATGTTTCATTGCAACCTGTAGAGTCAAGCGAAGAAAGATTGTGCAATGCGCCATATCGTGAGGCAGTCGGGTCACTCATGTTTCTTGCGACCGTGACGAGACCGGATATAGCATATGCCGTTAATACGGCGAGTAAGTTTTTAAATAAACCAAGCGAAATTCACTGGCGGGCAGTGAAGCGTATCCTAGCGTTTCTAGTCGGAACTAAAGACTTAGGAATAATGTATCGAAGCGGCGGAAGCGAACCACAGTTGATAGGGTACTCGGATGCAGATTTTGCGAGCGACATCGAGACGAGACGATCAATGACGGGATATATGTTCAGTTTGGCCAATGGTCCGGTCACCTGGGCATCACAGAGACAGAAATTAGTGGTTCTGAGTACCACGGAAGCAGAGTTTGTCGCTGCATCAGCAGCTGCGAAAGAAGCCGTGTGGCTCAGAAAACTGTTGGCTGGTATCGGGCGTCAATGTAAGCAAGCAACGGTTTTGTTTGTCGATAACCAGAGCACGATTCGCCTAGCTAAAAATCGCGAGTTCCACAAGAGAACAAAACACATTGACACCCGTTATCATCAGTTGCGTGAGATATCAGAGGCAGGAGTTTTGCGCGTAGTCTGGACTTCCTCCGAGACACAGCGTGCGGATATCCTTACTAAAGCACTATCGCGGAATCGTTTTCTAGCTCATTGCGAAGGCATTGGATTGTTAGAATGCTCAAGTACGGGAAATATGTATGCGGCGGAAGTATTGAAGTAAGCCCTGTATATTTTCTTCCTCCATGCCTGTTGTCTTGCGCATGCGTCGTGCCGTGGGATTGGTTGTCTGCCGGCTTGCGTACCGTGCGCATTGTAGTCGCTTCCAAAAAACCGAGCGTAGTAACGCGGCAGTTAATAAAAGTTATATTCAAGTGTACGTTGTTTTCATCATTCTTAGGTTAACTCTTAGGTTAACTCTTTTCACTGATATCCTGGATCTACGTAGAGCTGGTTGTCTTACATCAACACATATTTAACAGTAATAAAAATCTTTTTCCTGTTATAGCGTACATTACAACAATTGAAAAAGTTGTGGACTAACTTGAAACAGACTCAGAGAGAATTGTTAACCAAAGAAAAACAGGCTCGTTTTGCAACTGGTGGTGGTCCACCACCTCCAGAGATAAATATTGATCCCGATATAGCCACAATAGCACCACATCTCATGACAACAGCTCCTGTTATTTTTACATCAAATATGACAGAAAGTGAAATTGATGGTAAATAGTTTCGAAAAATATATTAATAAATATATATACAGTGGTGTGCAAAGGTTTCAGGCCAGTAACATTTTATAATTTAAAAAAAAACCTGATAAAATTTTAATCATTATCCAATGTTAGTACAAGATTCGTTACCCACATATTATATTAACACTCGAATATAATTAAAATTTTATCAGATTTTTTTTTATAAATTAGAATACGAAATGTGACTGGCCAGAAACTTTTGCACTGTACATATACATAGATATAGAGGAATAAATAAGAAAGAATGTTTAAACATCTTTTATTATCTGATATATGATATAACTGCAAAATAAAATAATATTTGATAGATAAATTTTATAAATTTTAATGTTTATTACAGAATTTTGTTTTATGTATGTTTCAGAAAAGAGCGAAGATATTTTTCATATTTTACAAAATGATACAGAAAAAGATAATAATATTATACTAATTGATGAAATTAATGACGAAGTACAAAAAGGTAAAGTTAAAACGAATTAAAAATAATAAAATAGAAAAGGTTTTACAAAATTGTATTAACTATTGTTTATATAGTTTATTTTATACATATTATTTATTTTAATATATTATAATCGTTTAGGACTGAGAAAAATTGTGTGTGTTTGCTATAATAACTTTTATAAGTAATATAAGTTAGCTAATTCAAATGTAAAAATATGATGCGGTAATTGATGCGCACACGTCCAAAAGTTTAAATTTATTACGCTTTTACGGCTTTCATGGGTATTTTCTTCAAGTATACCAGAAGGTTTGCGGGTTATCGCCGTGTCTTTCTTCATTATTAATGTCAACGTTTCGTGAACCGTGCCGTTCACTTCGTCAGGGCAAGGGGTGCGCTGATACGTTGGCATTAATAATGAAGAAAGACAAGACTATAACGCGCAAACCTCTTGGTATAATTGAAGTTTAAATTTATAAGTAAATTATATTTGACTTGTTGTTATTTGACTTGTGTTCTTTCAGGTGAAAGAATAACTGAAAAGACTGTAGACAAAGAGAATCAAAAGATTGACGTTTTAAATAAAGGTAATGTAATAATTGTTAAATAATATTTTTTATAAAATATAATTCTTAGGGAGCATCCCGTTGGAGAAAGAAATAGCGGAATAGAATTATTCTGATTGGTTATTGCTCGAAACATCGGTGAAAACGAGCATTAGCCAATCACAAATATTCCGTTTCCATCGGGACGCACCATTATAATCTTGATTAAGGCCCTTTTGACCAACTCCAATTAATTTAAATCAACGATTAGATCCATTGGAATTGACCAATCGTATCTGTCATTAAGCGAAATGACAATTGGTTAATTTCAATGAATCTAATTGTCGATTAAAGTTAATCGGAGTTGGTCTAAATGATTTTAAATATTATTGTATTTACAGCGTCTTTTTCGAAGAGAACAAGTTTAGACAACATTTATTCACAAACTACAAAACCAGTAAAAATACGAAGAAATACGTCAGAAAATCTTGATAATGATGAAAATGTCGTAAAGATTGAAAGGATAAAAATGGAAGACGAAAAAGAAATGGCGAATTTACGAAAAGGTCATGAAAACAGAATGATCACGATGAAAGAAAATTTTCAAAAGGAATTATACGCTTTAGATATACGAGCAGCTACTGCAAAGGCCGAACTAGCCGAATTACAACTACAAAAAGAACAAGAAAAATATATGCGTCTATAATATATAATAGAATACGGACTGAAACTAAAATAAAAAAGCATAATTCTATGATCGTTTTCGAGTGCACTGGTTTTTGCTTGAAGTCCATTGAATCGAGGTATATATACCATAATTTTATCCAACCAAAAACCAAAGTAGAGCATGTGCATACGCCATTAAGTAATTGATTTTGAATCGATCAAAACTCAGTGCGCTCGAAGATTCTATAAGTTATACTTATTTAAGTTTATTTTTATTTTTGCACATACATAAAGTTTTTTAAGTTGATATATTTTGTGCAATACTGCAGAGATACGTATACAGAGTTATGTGTAGGTATAGAGATTTTATTTTGAAACGGGAGTCGATTCTGTATCTTGAAACAAAGTGAAAATTATAAAAGCGAGTGAATTTACTAGAATATTTATAATTTTATTAAAGATACATAGATACAAAGATACAAAGACACAAAGATACATAGTATTATATTATTATATTTAAAAATATTATGTTTATAACAAAAAAAAAAGTTTGTTTGAAATAAAGTTTGTTTTGACTAATTATATTTTTCATTATTTTACTGAATATAACACAAATTATCGAAATAATCTTTCAATGAGTGCTGCTCGAACTGCAAGACCTTCACCCGGCTGCCAATGGGGTAAATCAACTGGCATTTTTTCCATTTCGTCATTTTCTAGTAATTCTTCTTCTGGTAATACATCATTATAAATCAATGAAAGATTATGTAATAGAGCACAGACGACTACAATTGTAGTTGAACAGATTAACTTATTGGTCAACCCTCTACTTAGGCACGGAAATCTGCGCTTCAAAATACCAAATGTTCTCTCTACTATTTGACGTGTTCTTTTATGGAGCATATTATAACTATAATAAGAAATATATTACATTCTGTAATTAAAGGTAGTAAAATTAAAGAGCTAATTGTAAATATAGATAAACGAGAAGAAAGAGATTTCAATCAGCAATGAAAAGCACAGGCAATAGGGACAGGGAATAACACACAGGCAATAGATTTCAATACTAGATTTTATACTAGAAATTGCTGTGCATTTATACATGGTTTTTGACAGTTTGAAATCTATTATCGTATTCTAACTATTATCTGTACTTTTTATTGTGTCTGAGTCCTAATACTCACTCAATTTCTTCGTCTGTTTGCGGATTTTGAAGAGGAGTAAGAAGGAAGGGTAGACAAGGATATCCAGCGTCTCCAACTAGAGTACCTGATAATTCACGATGGACATATCTCATATATATTCTGGAATTCTGAAATATTCTACTATCATGTTGGCTACCAGGCCATTCTGGAACAACGTCCAAAAACTCTGTTCTAGGTCCAACCACAGCCTACATTAAAAAATAATATTTTTTTAATGGTAGAATATACATAATAATACTGCTCAAATACAACAAAAAGCACAAACAATAGGAACAGAGAATAACACATTATTTATTATATTTACTTATTTATTTATACATACATACACACATACATATACACATTATTTATTATATTTATTTATTTATTTATACATACATACATACATATACACATTATTTATTATATTTATTTATTTATTTATTTATACATACATACATATACACATTATTTATTATTTATTTATTTATTTATACATACATATACACATATATACATATATAATACATACCTGTACATTTAATGACATGTATCCTTTTCGATTTCTGTAAACTTCGTCGATATTCTGAAATCTGGTACTAGTTAAACGTACATGTGTACAGTCGATAGCTCCATCAATGCCAGGTAAACCAATACCTCCATCACGACGTCCAATTTCTCTAAAAAGTCTTTGATTTTCTCTTATAGCATCTGGTGTAGAAGGCATCTTTATATATTCATGAAAGAGACTTGCTAAAAGTACGGACACTCGGAATACTATTCTTGACACAGTTGGCTGTGAGACAATTACAGTATCTCCAAGTACTTGCTGTAAAAATATTTGTATATTTTTTCAAAGGAATTATTAAATTTTGTATACTAAAAAAATGTTATTATAATATTACGATATATATACAATTATTATATGCATTAAAGATGTCATCAGATGAGGGTTTGCAGATTATCGCCGTAATTCATTATCATTGTCAACCGTTTTGTGAACCTTACTGTTTATTTCATCAGGGTAAGGAATGCGCTGATATTGTATTAGTGCGTTCCTTACCCTGATGAAGAAAACGGCAAAATTCACGAAATGTTGGCTTTAATAATAATGAATCACAACACGGCAATAACCCCCAAACCCTTTGACATTGTATATATCTTTGAAGTAATTACCTGTAGAACTTCAAAAGAATTATTATATGCAATTATATGTATTATATACACATTTTTTAAATACTTTATTACATTCTAAATATTTTATTTTCTAACCTGAAAACTGCCTGTAGCATAAAACCGTAGACAAATTAATAGTTGGAATACCGGAGGTACAGGAAGGCCGCGGTTATTAATCTTTGCAAGTCTTTCTTCGATGTTAGGTAAAATTCCATGCAATACAGATTCTTTATTGAATCTAAAACGCCTTTTAAATTCTCGATTATTATAAAATTCAAATGGATTGAGCCAATCTCTAATATATCTTTTTGGTACACGCACAATATTTTCATCATTATTAAAATCGATATCGTCAATTTCATTTAGCTCAATATTTCTAATATTTTCAATTTCTATATTAAGGGCCGGTTGTTCCATTTTTCGTAAATTTTATCTGTCAGATAAGTTGCAAGATTATTCAATCACATGCGCGAATTGTCAGATTTACAGTAAACAAGACTACCTTAATACCACTTTTACCTCGACTTGACGAAGATGCGTCTTATTTGACTATATATATATCAAATAAGAAAATCTTAATCGACTATGAATTCATTAGTAATAAGGTAATCTTAAATTCATGCTTATATGAAATGAGATCTGTTTATGAATCACATCAAGATGCTTTCAAACAAGATCGTCTTCGACAAGCTATGCCTTGAGATTTTTCTCAAGTATCTACTTGTTTCGTGACTATGAATCAAAACGCCATCTTAAGACTATGCTTAAGACGGACTTGAATATAAGAACTGACTATGAATACGGCCCTTAGACTCAGCGGGCCCGAGTGAATTCGCGACGTGTCTCGGTTCTCCGATGAATGATTTCGGTCAGGCGGCGCGAGCGTCGGGTACGTCGTTGTCTCGGAACCGATCGACTCCGACGGTTGGGTAGGTGCATGCGGTGTGGAGGTTATAGGCTACGTTTACACCCAGCGACCTGATAGCGACCTGATCTATATCGTGACCTAAAGTAGGTCTAGTTACTAATCGTTTACACCGAAAGAGACCTAAAAGTTGACAGGGTCGTATTTAGTCCACGCTGGTCCGAGTTAATTGAGCCATCTGTCGTACTTTGTACAAATTATTTCCGTATACAGCATTATACTCACGATTGCATCAATTTGTTGAGGTTAAATAACAGTGTTTTAAGTGTTATTGTATAACGATATATTTGAATGTATAAAATGTCACATTTGCAACAATATATTATGTTTTTTCATCATATGATTTTAACTAAAAATAGAAGAAATACGCTTTCTTTGAAAATTATGCGGAAAAAAATGTGGGACAGGATTCAACAATTGTGCAAGATACAGAAAATAATGTTTATGGAGTATGTGAGGATGTTTCCTACCCCTAACATTTTGGAAATGTATTTTAACATGATACACATTGAAAAGAGCATATGGATGAAGCCGAGAAGTAATCATTTTTGGCAAGAAATAGTGCTATGTACATATACAGATTCAGATTGGATAGAGAGTTTCCGAATGTCTGCAAAAATTTTCAATGATTTGTGCTTTTTATTAAGACCTGCTTTGGAACCTAAGCCTCTTCTGTTAAAATCAAGAGAATCTTTATCAGTCGAAAAGCAAGTCGCTGTCGCTTTATATAAATTAGCGAGTTGTGCAGAATATCGTGTTGTGGGCAACGTATTTGGAATTCATAAATCTACAGTAAAAAAATGTCTTTTTCGAGTTGTCAATGCTGTAAATCATTTAATGATGGAAGATTATCTCCAAATGCGAAATATATACGAAACTTCAAAAATAGCAATGAATTTTGAAATGATATCACACATTCCACAAATTATTGGATGTATCGACGGTACGCATATACCTATATTGGCTCCATCGGAAGGCTATCGAGATTTTGTTAATCGTAAGGGTTGGCCTTCATATGTTTTACAAGCAGTCGTCGACAATAAATGCAGGTACACATATTTACATTTATTAATAAGAGTAAAAATGATCAATAATCATTAATAAATGTATTGTTTATAGATTTAGAAATATTTGTGTTCGTCATCCTGGGAGTACTCATGATGCCGCTGTATTAAAAGATTCAAGTCTGTATAAAAATGTTAAAAATATTATTCCACAGGTAAGAATAAAAACTTAACAATTTGTATAATAAATATAATATTTATATTTATTTTGTCGTTATGTAATATTATTGCATAACTTTTATTGCAGGGTACGAGAAATATTAACGATTTAGAGATACCTTATTTTATTATCGGTGACCCTGCATACCCATTGTTACCGTGGTTATTAAAAGGCTATCCTGGTACTGTAACAATTGAACAAGAATCTTTCAATATACATTTAAATTCTGTAAGAGTTGTGTAGAAATGGCATTTGGCCGTCTGAAGGCACGTTGGAGAATACTCCTAAAAAGAATTGATGTAGATCATACATTCGTTCCAAATATTGTAAGTTGCTGTTGCATTTTACAAAATTTTTTGGAGTCTAGGAACGAACAATTTTTTCAACAATGGCTGAATGATGTGGTCGAAGCGGAAATAATTTATCCACAGCCTGCAAATATTATTAACCAGGAACGTGATGACATCTCTGGGTCAACTATTCGAAAACATTTAACGGATTATTTAAGTAATAATTTTCCGTTGCGTACAAGTGTTTTAAGATAATATACGATATTTAAGATAAGATAAAAAGACTTTTAGATAAGAAACTTAGATAAAATATTCATACTTTATTTTTATCACATTTTTCTTATACATATAGAGTAAATATTATATAATGTAAAAATAAATTTATATAAAGAATAAATATATGTTTTTTTACTTTTATACTTTTTTACTTTTATATCTGTTTACTTATATCATGATCGCTCATACATGCAGCTGAAGTTGATGGTGAAGGCATTGATAGATTTGTTTCAGGAGAATTTATGAAAGTCGGTGATGATAAAGGAGAAGCAATTGCAGAAAAAGATGAAGATGATGAATGTGAAGGAGATGGTGACATATTATACGGATATACATTTTGAATAGTTGACGGAAATGTATGCACTGGAACTGAAGTTGGTGCAAACTGAGGATACTGGAAATTGACTGATTGCATTGTTTGTAATCCTTTCATAAACGTCTCCAAAATTAAAGTCTGATGCTGGTGTTCCTTTTCAATCATTTCCCTTTCCCATTGTCTTTGATTATTCAGTTGCGCATTTATTGCATCGTCAAACATGTGCATTTGTTCCTTCATAATTTTTTGCATTTCTTCAGCCTGTTTTTTCGCAAAAACTTCTGCAAAGTTCTCCGCTAGCTTCATGTGTGTGTTGCGACCTAAAAATACACAAACAATATTTTATATAAATTTAATTTAACGTAGAAACAAACTATTAAAATATGTATGATGTACTTATTAACATAAAATAAATAAGTTTTTACGTAATACAATATTTATAATGTTTTATTTTATATAACTTTTAATTTAATATTTATTTATATTTATTATTATTTATTTATATTTATAATTATTATTAATATTAATTTATAATTTTTTTTTATAAAAGCCATGTATAATATTTCCTACTGATCTGTTTTCCTTTTTTTAGATGAGTTAGTATCATTCACAACCTTTTCATTTTCCTTATGTGTTAAATCATCTTCTGCATCATCTTCTACTTGAATTGTTTCTTCTGGTCCAGTTAATTCTATAACTATGAGTGCATACATCATTATTACTATCATAAATGTAAATAATAAATAACAAACGCATTAATAATCATTATTCAATAATTAATAAGTTAATCAAGGGCGAGATAAGAGTCAAATTACATTTAAAATCTAAACAACTCTGATAATTTAGGAAAGGGGGGAAGGGGGACATTTCACATATATTCCTTAATCTGGATAAAGTATTGCAAAGAATATCACTACGTCGACTCGCCATCAGAGGTCTATATTTACTCATGCCAATTCTCGCAAATGCCGAATTACATGAGTGTCTGTTTATATAGAACTTCTTTCTAACATCTCTCCCAGGCGTCTAAGGTAGACTTCCACTACAATGCCTTATTGATGAGTCCAGTAATGGAAGCCGGGACGAAACGCCAAAAATTACGTGATATTTTTTGCAATATATTAGAATAAATTATCAGAGTTATTTAGATTTTAAATATAATTTGACTCTTATCTCGCCCTTGATTAACTTATTAATTATTGTTATATAAAAGAGTCCGTTAAAATTTCCAATTTAATCATTATTCACATACTTTGAATATTATTGCCACTGGAATCGATACCAATGTCTGTAATGGCTTGGATTGATGGCCTTCCGCAATAAAGTTGTTCCATTTCATCATAAAAAGTAAATGTCTGACGACTAGCACCACTTGTATTGTTGTTTCTTTTGAACTTAAAATACGTTTCTTTCAAATGTTTTAATTTTACTTTCATTTGTGCGCCACTTTTTATGAAACCCATCTCTTTCATACTAGGCTCCAATGAATTATAAATATCTACATATATGTTTGTGGCGTTTCCCATCCATCATTTGTATTATTCTCTTTTCAATGCAAAGATTAAGAAAACATCTTGTTTCTGTTTCAGTCCAATTGGAACTTTTACATTTCTTTTCAGAGCTATTGAACAAAATATTTTAAAAACATTAAGTTAATTTAAGCTTTATTCCGACAAGTCTATTTATAACATATTATTTTGATTAGCAAAGACATACTTACGAACTTGAATCCTGCTGAGAACCGCTACATGACATTTTATGTATCTTTTTTTAACACTTATTATGTTATTTGCACAAATCAGCACTAACAAGTCTTTAGAAATCTCTGTCTTTAGAAGTAAATAACAAATGAATTGGTCTATAACCTAATTCAACAAAACAGTAGTAAAGATTGTGAAGAGTGACCCCTATCGAGCAAATAAAAAAGCTTTTAGGTCGCGTCACGCGTTTACACCGTGAAAGCAGACGACCTATTTTAGGTGAGGCCGTTAAAAAACGCGGCCTGACCTAAAGCTAGTATCAAGTGTTTACACCACGAGACCTAAATAATTTAGGTCGAATTTGGGGTATAGGTCGCGGACTAAGCGCACGGTGTAAACGTAGCCATAGGCTGGAGCAGTGCTCGGAATTAGTTGCACATTTCGGGCCGATTTTGGAGGTCACGCCTACTGTCTCCCCACTACCACTCGAGCCTCGGCGGCCGAGCCGACGTCACGTGACGCTGTGCCTCAGGAGCGTCGCGATACTTTCCAGCATGCTGGGAGTATACCTTTCGACAAATATGATTAAAATATTTTTCTTTTTACGTGATTTTTATTTGAACAAATTTTTTTTATTATTAGCATATTATGTATATATTCTATAATAATATAATTTACAATTATTA